ATATTGATTAAACTAATTCCTCTGTGGTTTCACAGGAGGATCTGTCACCTTTCTTGTAAATCGGTATGATCACCGATTCACACCAATCAGTTGAAACCTCTTCCGTTTCCCACATTGAACCAAGGAGTTTGGTCAACTCCAAGACCGACCCTGAGCCTCCATCCTTAAAAACGGATGGGACCAGCCCGTCGGGGCCGGAAGCCTTATGCCGTTTGAGGTGACTTATTTCCCGGGTAACCTCCATTTCATATGGAGGACTGATGTCAACTGGCAGTATTTGCATAGTTGAATCGAATGGGGGAAGGTCTTGTATCGAAGGGGACCAGCTAAACTGTNNNAGTGTGCCGTCAGACTTCTTAATTACCTCACTTACACCTGCTTTCCTTGGTCCTGTACTCCTTATTAAACGAAAAAGATTGCGACTATTACCAATAGCCGTCAGTCACAACTGACAGCAGAGGCGGATCAGCCCCATATTGTTTTGACGTGTAACTAGCTGCTGAGAGCCAGTCCGGATAGCCTAGATGGATAACACATGGGATTAACAGTCTCTTACAATCGGCTTAGACGGCTGCAGCGCATTACCACAGTTGATGATTCATCACAAAGTTGAAACGACCGTATAATGAGGGAAGAGAATTTGCGGGGTGAGTGACAGGCTGCTAATTTAACTTATCATTATCTACACTCCTGAATCCGGCCTTCTTGATGAGTGAGTGATGCGACTGAGTAAGTCTAATTCACCACAGTTTATGTCGCTTTGATTGGCGTTGAAATTCTGTTTTTCATTCTGCAGTCCGAAACCTAACGAGAACGTACATACCAAAGGTTCGAAAATATCTTGTCCATCTACAAGCCTTTCTTAATCTTTGAACTATTGAAGTTGAAAACACTAATCAACTCGTGAGTTGAAAAAGGATCAAATAAACCACATCATGCACTAGCAGTACACGAAAATGAAATGACATGCGGCGAGATGCACACGCACACACGTGCGCGTATCACAAA